GCCAGTGCCCAGCACTCTGCTGAGGCATCAGACTCTGCAGGTGCTTCCATCACCAGACAGCTGTGCCAGTAGCCACTCTCCGAATGACACTGGAAGAGTGCATACCTCCACAAAGTCCAAACCCTGCAGTCCTGACAACTTGGTCAGGAAGAACTGTGAGGCCTCAGTACTTCACATGAACATTTTGATTTGTCATTATTATTCCTCTTGTTGTTTGTTTGTTGTATTTACATAGCTTTCCCCTTTAGGGGGAGATGTAGGATTAGGCTTTACATTGCATGCTGGGTTGAAGATCAGTCATCTTGAATAAACCTCATGCTAGCTTGTGTTTACTTAAAGTCTCCTTTCTTCTTCGCCCAATACTACAGAACCCGATACTACACGATCCACAAAAATGCCAGGTCTCGTGTAGCAAAAGAACTCCTCACTTCTGACGAGAAGAATGGTTCATCTCTGAGTGGAACAAAATCTTAACATGAAGAGTAGTGCATAGAAAAACCATGCAATCTATCAGCAGCTGAAGAGACCCTAGGAGGTTACCTTGCAAGTTACAGAATCAATATCTCATTTCGCATGAGACAAAATCATACCTGAACAGAAAGTTTAAGTTTAATGAATTTGCCTCCCACAACTGGAAAAGAGGAAGAGCAAATATCAATGGCCACTCAGTTGTCAATGCAACTGCAAGTTACAGAATCAATCTCCCATATCACATGGGACTAAATCATATCTGAATGAACAATGGCATTGAATTTCTAGTTTCATTTGTGGCCAGGCTCACAAAATGCATGACATTTTTGTCATAGTTTTAGAGTTACTTCTGCAGAAACTATTTCCAATTGATAATCAAATCATCATACACACAGGATGTGCATCATAAATTTCCAGTATGTCACACTATCATGCCTAGCTTCAAAATCATAAGAATTTCCAGCTATTGTTTGATTCCTTCTAAAAGAAGTACAGTTAGTTTAATTCAGTAGTTCAGAGTGTCAAGACCTGCACTTACAAGTTCAGGACCTCTTGGTCACAGAAAGTAACTCCATTGTAACTGCAAGTTGGTGACCTCTTTGACTAAGGATTTGGTATGTCACATTTGACTTTATTACGTCTTAGAGTTTAAGTTCAAGAATAATACAGTTCATATGTACTTATCTCAATCCAATTGTCTAGTCTTTGCTTGAATCCTTAGTTGATTCATGTTCAAAATTTGTGTAGAGTGTAGTCAGCTTTCAGAACATTGTATTAACCTGTACCTTTCATTCACTAAACATGTTATACAACACTGTAGTAGGCGGAGTTCATTGGTGAAATCAGTTTTTTCATTGTTTAGTTCATCAGTAATGACAGATGTTGTCCTGTCACAGAATATGTTGCCCGTTTTCCTAGTTTTATGTCAAAAGGAAAATATGAAAATGCTATTGAGATTAGTTTTATTTAATATTATGTTGTTCTGAGCTACTGTTTTATCAGTATTTACTTGTTTTCGGTTATTTCATGTGTAATTCTAAAAATAGCTCACTATTCAATAGTCATATGTTTGGATAAGAGGATAAGTATTTTATTAAGTGTCGCACAATGATCACTGTTCTGTCATGCAATACTTTGAAATTG